AGAAAGAAAGAAAAAAGATGAGAAAATGTGTTTTCCTGTTTTTGTTTACTTCTTTTAAAAGTTAATCAGGTTTATTCCTGTTTTGTATGAAATGATGAAACGGACTAAGAGAGAAAAGATTAAATCAATTTTTTGTTTTTATTCTGTATGTTTATGATGAATTTAGTTAAATCAAAGTCAAACTGATTTCGGGACTCCAGCTCCCATGATGCTTTGCGCCCACGTGGCCTCTCCTGGGTGTTTTCTCTCTGGAATTACGTCACTCAGAGCGGAAGTAGGACGGAAACCCTCCAAAGTAAAAGCCTGAGGGTTTTTCTGGCGTTTTCCAGCGTTTCTGGGAGTTTATTTATATTTACTCATTTGTCAGCAGTTTATCGATTCCCAAACTCATTTACTGACAAATATTTCAGCTATAAATGGAATAAAATGACATGAATTCATTATCTTACTGCAAAATGAGCTCTAATTTTTTGGGGGTATTTTATATAAATGATTAAAGAGACACTTTAAAGTGCATTTGATTGTCCTCTCAGGTCTGTTTGAACAAAAAGTCTAAAATGACCCCAAATGTTTGGGTTTCTGCTCCTTATTGAGTCTGTTTCTGCTCCTGAACTCCTGTTTCTGCTTCTGTCTGAACATCTGCTGAACAGAGCTCATTCAGGGGAACCAGAGCTGGATATGGAGGAGAAAAGCAGGAATTCACAGTTTAAATTCAAAATATTCTGATTTATTTTATTGCTTTTGGTCATTTATCCGATTTCCAAATGGATGTTTATGGAAAAACGTACATATTTTTCTCCTTTTTGTGTAAAATTGGCTCATAATTCTGGCGGTTTGTTCATAAATCTGACAAACGGGACACTTTAACCCCGTTGTGTCCAGTTTTTCTGCGTCTGTCAGAGCTGGAACAGAGCTGATCCAGGAGGTGAACCTCATTCTGGAGGAGAAGCAGCAGAACTGAGTTTTCTGCACCTTAGTTTGGATCAGAGGCTCAGATGTTGGTTTTTATCCAGAAAAAGCTCCTTAAATGGAGCGTTTGGGTCCTTTTAGATGGAAGAAAAGCAGTCAGGACTCAGTTAGAGGACTTTCAGAGTCTTTAGGAGAAAAACAGTGCTGGTTCTGGAGGAAAAAGCAGAAACTCTGATTCTCTGGACTCTGGTTTGATCAGAGGCTCAGATGTCATTTATCCGATTTCCAAATGGATGTTTATGGAAAAACGTACATATTTTTCTCCTTGTTGTGTAAAATTGGCTCATAATTCTGGCGGTTTGTTCCTAAATCTGACAAACAGGACACTTTAACCCCGTTGTGTCCAGTTTTTCTGCGTCTGTCAGAGCTGGAACAGAGCTGATCCAGGAGGTGAACCTCATTCTGGAGGAGAAGCAGCAGAACTGAGTTTTCTGCACCTTAGTTTGGATCAGAGGC